ACTCCACTAGTTACAAGCCTCCAACTAGATTCAGGAAAGTAATGGAAGATATACAGGATAGAACATTCAGCAGCCAGTTCTATTAATTATCTTGTCTGAAATTTTTTTGGTTTTTCATGTTTAAGTCTTGGACCATAAGTTTTATTATGCATTTTGAAAATTCAAAGGTTTTATTTGTTTGTTTTCTTCCTTGAGTTGCTCGTAATGTGATTTCAAGTTTTCACTTTTAATGATTTCTTTGTAATATGTTTTTGTAATTTATTCTATGATACATAATAACTTGTTTGTTTAAAAGAAAGAAATCTGAAGGTCATTGGGTTGTTGTTGTTACTATTATTGCTATAATTCTCTCAGTCTGCTTCTGTGTCTCTTTTCATAGGCCTCACCTAGATACATCAGCAGAACTGAGGTATTCTGTGGGCTCCCTGGTTGATAGCCAGTCTGACTATCGGTCAACTAAAGTGATAAGGCGACCTAGAAGAGGCCGGATGGGTGTACGCAGAGATGAACCAAAGGTTAATCCCCAATTCCTTCTCATATATTCTCTCATAAGAGAATGTATTTCAGGCTGTTAAGCTTACAGTTTGTGTATGTCCAGAAAAAAAGCAACAAACAAAAAATCTCAAACCCAAATAGCTCTTTTTTTTCCCCTATACATACTCAGACAAGAGTACTGTTGTACTAAAAGGAACGCAGAAAAGGTTGAAGTTCAGACATCAAAGTTTAAACATATTTGACTGTCTGCATCTCCTAGGTATCTTTTTGTGTTTGGTTAATTTTACGCCACATTAAAAATTATGTGAAAATACTTTAAAACATCTGCAGTAATATTGCAAGTGTTAATAGAGAATTAATCATTGAATAAGTATTCTTAAATGTTAGTTGCTTTCCTTTGCCATTTTATAGAAGTTCATCTTTGCAGTTGTTTTCCATGGAATAAGCCATATACATCCTAATTCCTGCTCAGGTAAAATCTCTTGGAGATCATGAGTGGAATAGGACCCAGCAGATTGGCGTTTTGAGCAGCCATCCATTTGAAAGCGACACTGAAATGTCTGACATCGATGACGATGATAGAGAAACACTTTTCAGCTCCATGGACCTCCTATCACCAAGTGGCCATTCTGATGCCCAAACCTTGGCCATGATGCTTCAGGAGCAGCTAGATGCAATCAACAAAGAAATCAGGTATGTAGCTTAAACCAGCTGTGATGCACTTATGATAACAGCTTCAATCTTCCTTTAGTGCATGAGTTCAGGTACCGTTCATAACAATTAGGAAACCATTTGTGTATTTAAAGGATTGATAATGTGTCTCCTTTTCATACGAGAGTATTGATTGTGTGAATATAACAATGACATCTTCATTTCCTAACCATAGAAATTTCTTTCAAAAGTGAAAAATTTCTGTCTAATTGAAAATAAATACGTTAGAGAAGGCTAACATACAGCACGTTTGACAGATCACTATTTATAATCCTCTTTTCAACGTCTTTTTCACTGTCCTGCATGACTCCTCTAACTCACTAATGACCTCCTATCAGAAAAGTTTTATTTCAGTGCTCTTCATGCTTTCTTCTGATTATTTTTGCTATGCTACATCTCACATAAGGCAAGTTTTCTAAGACGTTATTTTGATTTTTTTTGGAGGCCCAGAATGTGATTTTTCATGCTCCAAGTTCTTGGATATAGGTGGTGGATTGAATGTGTCTTTATAATCTCTGTGCAAATTTAATGGCGTGACAGAGAATCCAATGACATATTTTAATTAAGTGAGTTTTAGGCTTAAAGCATTCTTACATGTTTTTCAGGAAGGGTAACTTTTAAAAACTTGGTTTGAGAAAAAGATAGGGAGGGACTTTTTAAAAGGGCATGTAATGATAGGACAAGGGGTAATGGATTTAAACTGAAAGAGGGTAGATTTAGATTAGATATTAGGAAGAAATTTTTCACTGTGAGGGTGGTGAGACACTGGAACAGGTTGCCCAGAGAAGTTGTGGATGCCCCATCCTTGGAGTTGTTCAAGGCCAGGCTGAATGAGGCTTTGAGCAACCTGGTCTAGTGGGAGGTGTCCCTGCCCATAGCAGGGGGGTTGGAACTCAATGATCTCCTAGGTCCCTTCCAACCCAAACCATTCTATGATTCTATGATCCTCTCATTAGTGACTGTTTCTCTAGAAGGAGATGAAGGAGATTACTGAATGTATTAGTGACTCTCTGGCAATACTATAGACAGAAAAACTGTGGTTTGAAATATAATCAAAACCAGATTTTTTTTTAGCCAGATCTCAGTCGTTCTCTGAGCAAGGTAACTTTAAAGGGAGAACTCTTCTGGAATATACTGAATTTCAATAACTTTTCTTTTCACAGGGGAGACTTTTTGTTGTAGACCTACAGCTTTGCATTTTCATTACTCCCAGAATTTCTTAATTCAGATAGGATTACTCTTTTCTTTTTTACTTATTTTCTAAAATCTCTTATTACAGCTGTCAACACAGAGGAGTCAAAGAGATTTTGTTGTTGGGAGGGTAAATCTCCTTAAAACAGTGTATGTAAAAGAGAGAACCTTATCCATATTTTCTGATAGTACAAAGAAGTCAGCACTGTGACCAATTCGGGAAGCTGTAGATGCGACAAATTAATTTGTTTTTTAAAATACTGTCATTTTGACAATTTAACAGGTAATTATGTAATACAGTAGAAGGTTTTCACAAGAAATTGTAACTGCAGGTGACATAGTGGGATATTACTTGTGCCATCCTGAATCAGAACACTGTTTTACTTAACACAGGATCTTGACTTGGATGTTAGGTACAGTTTTATCTCAAAGAGGAAACAAAGGTGCACATTGTATCTAGCCTTTTTCGGGGAGGTCCAATTAAAGTAGTTTATTTCCCCTGCTGCTATGTTTATCGTGAAGTATAGGCTTTCATTACCATCACCATCTTTATTAAAGAACCAGGTAACTAACTTTAATTCTTTTTTCTATACATTTCAGGAAAAATGATTCTGCAAGTATAGTCTTATAAACCGTACTGCATTTCACATTTTCTTGGGATTTTTTTTTGACAAACATTTCTATCAACAGAGATTAAAAAGTGATGTTGCCTTAGATTTGTTTTATTAGACAAGATGATTCAGAACTTAGATTACTAAAATGAAAAAGATTGTTATGATTCTCTTTCAAAATATTATTTACCTTTAAATTCCTGCCATGCCTCATTTCAGAAAGAATTGTAGACATTTTATAGAAGTTTTGAAATGGATGATAGGGAAGAAGATTTGTCACAGCAGAAAAGTTTGTAGGTTTCTATTTTCAGTGCATTATGGTTTTATTTATTGTACTTGCTTCATTTCACTCAGAAAAGCCTGATTCAGAATTTCAGCCTCCTCAAAATTTGTGTTTTCCCATTTAACCTTGATTCTTCATCCTTTTTCCTCTTCACAAAAAAAAACAAAAAACAAAAAACAAAAACCTCCTTCTAGTGAGGATTTATGGATAAAGGATTTATAAACAAATGTTTTATTTTAAACACATTTTTATAATTCTAGGTACAATCACAATTAAAAACCAAAGCTAAAGAACCCAGTGGCAGCATTCTATTAAGGCTGTGTATGTTTAAGAAGCTTATATTGTTAACAAGAGAGCTATTTTAATGAAATTCACTTAAAAACTCAGTGCTTTAGAAACAACTGTAATTTTTTCATCGATTTGTAGGAATGAAATAGGCAAATTGTTTTGCGTGATCTCTTGTTTTATTAATATGGATTATCTTGGCAATTCCTGTCTTAAAAGCCCAGTTTCATTTGACTTTAAATTTGTGCTTGTGCTTTAGCAACAGAAAATCAGATGAAGCCAACTTAAGACCGGAATTAGTTTCCTGTGGTAAATCGGATTGTTAACTCCCCCTCTCCTATACTGTTTGCTTTGCAAAGGAACCAATCTTCCTGAAATGTCATATGTCAAGTCTTGTTGTTGGGCAGATTCTTCAAACAGTTTTTCAGGATTGAGGAATTAAGAAAAGGATTTTATAATTCCAGTGATTGAAAAATACACTTTTCAATATTATTTTGGAGTTGATTTACGACATTTATCTTTGTATTCTTTTACTTTCAAATCTCATTTGAAAGAAAATATTTTTTAGTTTTGCTTTTAGGGCATGCAGAGACAAGTACAACCACATTCTTTTATTTAATAAGGTTAATCCAAGAAGAGAAAGAGTCGACAGAACTGCGTGCCGAAGAGATAGAGAATAGAGTGGCCAGTGTGAGTCTAGAAGGCTTAAATCTAGCCAGAGTCCACCAAGGTACCTCCATTACTGGCTCAGTGACGGCATCATCACTTGCAAGCTCATCTCCTCCCAGTGGACACTCAACTCCTAAACTCACTCCTCGCAGTCCAGCCAGGGAGATGGACAGAATGGGGGTTATGACGCTGGTAAGAAACTTTGTGATACCAATTTGGGTGTGGTATTTCTAGTATTAAATACTTCATCTTTCACTGTATGAATGGCTCATCTCTTTAATTCTTTATTCACTTCTTCATCATACATACAGATAGCAAATTCCCTAGAATATGGACATTTGGGTGGCTTGGAGTTTTGTTGTTGTGGTTTTGAGCACTGCATGATTCACCCCAGATGTAATGATCTGAGGATCAAGGGCCTTCAGCACGTAGGCAATGGAATGGATAAGAAACAAAACTGATCATTGGAATTACTGTAATCAATTTATATGTAAAATACACTTACTAATTAAAAGCTCTGAAGTGATACAGTTATTACACAGTAGTCTATGGGACTTTTGGCAAGTTTAGGAAATGTCTAGAAGACATTAAAACCTTCTGCTACTTCATATATATATTATACTTGCAGCATTTTCTATGTGTTCTTCATGAAAGTTTATCAAGCATTTGAAATAAGTGTTTTGTTTTCCAATAACTCATTTAACTGATATAATTCAACATTACAAGCAGCACACATAAATACATACCAAGCCATCAAATCATCATGCAAAGCATTTGTAACCTTACTGTTCCTTTGAAGATATATTCTGAAATGTCTAGTTTGATTTGAAAAGGGATTTGCAAAAACATTTGTTTTGGTCCTAGACAAAATAAACAGTGCAACAGTCAAGTAAGCTCATGTAGTATGTGTCGACATATTCAAGATGTACAACTCTGATATTGATAAGAGTGCAGACACAGGGTGCAGTGTTCAGTGTGGGCTACAAACCAATTTGGAGCTGGGATGAATTAATCCCTTTAAACTTTAGGAGAGAATCAAAGCAGCCTACTCTGTTGATCTCTACATACAGGGAGGAGGATGGGATATGTGTAACACCATTTTTTATTTGCTATTTCTCTGATAATCTGAATGTCACCAGTGTCCACTCCTGGGAAGCAGCAACACTGGTTCCCTGTGGAGTCTCTCAGCAGAAGGGAAATAAGCTTTGGTTTCAATCAGAAAGCAGAAATTAACTCTCCTACCCAAGAAGGTTGCTAAGAACAGTGGGAGTGGAACCTAACTGTTCATTCTGATCAGCTGGGAGTAGGGGCTCCAGGATGTCCCTACTCCTGGGGACTGATGATGACTGCCATTATCTAGCCAAGTACTTCCTTTCCCTGGGAACTGACACCTACTCATGTCCACCCAGTTTAGGGTGGTGTTTGCTGCTTTCTTGGGAACTAAAGACAGTGTTTTCTGATTGCAAGATGAGGTCAGGGCTGGCAGTTGTGCCAGACTGTGGCACTGATTCAGCCTGGTTCCCACTGCTGAACAGCAGAAATTACAACGTTGGTGGCACAGACATTGAGGAGGGGGTGGGTGCGTAGGCTGCCATGGTGCCACCCACTTCACCAAAGCAGCACCTTCCTGAATATGCAGTTTGGCTCCATTTCACCAGTTGTTTAAACTAAGCAATCTGGCTACAGATAAATGGCAATGGTTAAACTGACCTTCCAGCAGGCACCTGCACTGGCTGGTTGCCTCGATCTGGATGCAGTAGCTTCGAGGCAGTAGGTTCATCAGATTCGAATACACAATGACAGCATCGCACCTCTGCACTTCAGGCTGCCATGGCCTCACTGGCATCCAGCAACAGCTGTGCTGAAGCTCAGATGGATGTGTCTGTATGAGCTGCAGTTGAAGTCTTGACTTTATGATAAGCCACAGAGGCGGCCCCCCACTGCATGCTCAGCAGTACAGCACACAGCTTTGCTCACCCTACTAGCAAATACATCAGCCAATTCAGGACACTTCTGCCCTGTGCTGTTAAAAAATGAATACCTTCTTCTCCTTAGTGTCTGGGCTATCAGTTGGGAAGAGCTCTGTAGAGGTCTAGTCTCTAGAGCCCAAATTGAAAAATGATCCTGTAGGAGTTGCCTGGAGAAGCAGTACTGCATTGAGTTTCCATGGCCCAGGTCCATGCATAAATAAATTCTGCAGAGTTTCTTCAGCTTTGCTGGAATGAATGAGACATCTACCAAAAATAACAATGAAAAGAGGGTTGAACGTGACACATTCTAGCAGCCTTCTACTGACAAATGATGCTGTATTGCAGAAAATGGATGAATTTGTATCCATTGACTGAAAATGCCAGTCACATTAATGTGGGATAACTGGAGAGAAGTATCCCTTTTTCAGACATGGTATTTGTTGGTGATATTTTGTGTTTATACTCTGTGAGACACACCGTTACATTTGTAACATTAGATAAAACTTAAAAAAAAAAATATCAGTGTTTGGGGTAGTGGAAAGATTTGCATCAAAACTCCAAAAAATAAAAAGTGCTACTATAAGCTTGCAATGTCCTATTATTTTCTAAGTTTACAAAAATGAAGGAGATCGTAACTTTAAAAAAAAATAACTGCGCAGAATGGCATATTTGTCTGGAGCTATCTTATGTTATGACACCAAGTGTATAATTAGTATGTAATATATAATGAAGTCTCTGCTTTCTACTTCTGAATGCTAGAGGAATGAATGTGTGGCATTTTGTTATGGTCAAATAAGATGTATTAATCAGTCTTTTTTTGTTGTTGCTGCTTTTGTTACGAATCTAAGCCAAGTGACCTAAGGAAACATCGGAGAAAGGTATGATACTGGGTATTTTTTTGAGTTTATGAGACCACATTTATCATATTCCTCTGCTAATTAGATAATTGGGTTCCTTGCCAACCACTGCATCCCATCTACTCCTTTTCGTTCAGTTCCTGAACATAATAATTTTAATACTACCTGGAAAAAGCTAGCAGAGGTCACAGCTAAGCCACAGAACCGAGGCCCACCAATGTTATCTAGGAGTAGTAGCCTCTACAGCACAAACTTAAAGGAATACAGAAAAAACAACCAAAGTCTGGACACAAAAGAGTTACTTTCAAATGTATTTTGACCATTCTTATTGCTGGAAGAACCAGAGTCAGATTGTTTGAAATCTTCTGGAGCAATATAAAGTTGTTTACAGAATTGGCACTGAATGTGGCATTTATCTTTATATGAGCAGAGATGATATTTAAGATAAATCATTACATGCTGTGACAAAACTCCTTTTTGCTCATGCTTATTTTCGAGCATTCTGACCATTCTGTTAAAAAGCTATGGAGAGAGTGGTTGTGTTTATGTCTGTATTTACCTGTTCCCTTACTTCCCTGAGAAACTTTGTTTACATTAATAATCCTGTTTAAAGCGAGTCCCGCTTGCGTATAAAGTTATTTTCATGTTTAGGCCTTGACTGGATCAACCTGTTTGTCATAAAAGGAATTAATTTCTTCTCCAAGTGTAATGTCTTTCCTTTCAAATACATACATGCCGTATTTAGGCAACTGCTCTTTCCCAATTTTATTTCAAAATAAGAATCCTTACAATTTGCTTGAAAAATTGCACTAGAATCCATACATGCTGCAGTTCACTTGACAAATTCATGCAGCATATGTTAAAACTTTCTTGAAAAGCTAATCTGCTCTCAATGGAGTTTCTCTCCCCCAGATTGCAGTAGTTGAAGAAGATGGGCATGAAGATAAAGCCACAATCAAATGTGAAACTTCTCCTCCTCCAACACCCAGAGCAATCAGAATGACTCATACCCTTCCCTCTTCATATCACAATGATGCCAGAAGGTAAGGTGTTTGTAATATGAATTGGTACTTCACTGATTTACTGTGTATTATTCTTTTCAAATCATGCTGGTTTTTAACTATTCCGAAATGACCTGATTTCTTTATGTTTCTAAATCATTTAAGGAAGAAGATGTGATCGTTTCGCTTGTGGGGAGATTATTACTAAAGTATAGCCAATGAATTTGTTTGCAGAGCTGCTCAGAAGAAAATAAAAAAAATCACATGCAAATTTTGACATGTTATCTATTCCATTTCTCTGATATCATTTTGTAGTAGTTTGCCTGCTTCACTGGAGCCGGAAAGCATTGGTCTTGGCAGTGTCAATAGCAGCCAGGACTCCCTGCACAAAGCTCCCAAGAAGAAAGGAATCAAGTCTTCAATAGGACGTTTGTTTGGTAAAAAAGAGAAGGCTCGACTTGGACAGCTCAGTAAGGAATTAGTGGTAACAAGCCAAGCTCACCATTTCACAGTCATTTTTTCCATTTTTAATTTTGCTTCTTTTCAATTTTCCAATTTGCTTATTTTTCTCTTTAGTCTGGCAGAACCTTCCCACTGAACTTCATTGCTATCAGCAATTATATTTCTCAGGAGTTTTCTGTGACTAACACAAATGAAAGGAGACTTCTGGCATAAATTACTAGAGTCATCCTCTTCACTGAACCTACTGCTTCAGTAGTCTCTTCAATTAGGGTAGAAGTGCTGACAGTGTATTCTCAAATAACCAAAATAAAGAGGAGGTCAGAAAGTAGTAAGTAATAAACCACTATAAGGAGTGTAACTATGTGATATGGAAGGTCCTTGCAAGTAAGTGTAGTTGCTTTTCAGATTTCAGTTGTCAATAGATGTCTGCTAGTGCCTTTCACTGATGTCCTCACCATTCTCTATGCTGCTCATGGTAATGCTTTTTCTTTTTCCTACTGCTTCTGCCCTTTTCCCTTGCCATGACTTTAGTCAAATTCATTCCTGGCAAAAATTTTCTTCTGTGATGTTCCATAGGATATGTCTATACCACAAGCAAAAACAACCAGTCATAGCATAACTTTATTTAACTACCTTAGGTAGCATAAGCAATGGAAGGTGCAGTGACAGTCTTCAGCAAAGGCTCATAGTCTGCATGCCCAAATGGGCAAATACGGTTGATATTGATAGGCTGAGTTAGCTAGATTAAAATTAGCATATGTACTCATGCCAGCACAAGCATCAAGCTAGTATAGGTGTGTCAGTGAAAGGGGAATACTAGCTCTTTCCTAGTCACAAAGATGTCACATAGCACAAATTTGTGAGGCACTAAATTTTTGCTGCCATGGTGACCACATAACACCTGTAAAATAATTTTAAGAGTCTGCAGTAATTGTAAATGCTTAAGCAATATGTAAGCCTGAAATTAAAAAAAAACTAAATTCATATTAAAACATATCCTTATCACAGATAACAAACTCATCACTAAAATCGAACACAATAAAATAAGGTAATATTAAGGTCAAAGTATCTGAGTAAAATCAAATAACTGAGCATTCTCCATTTATACTCCAACCTTTCTTCTCTCTGCCTGTGAGAACCTTGTGTTCTTGAAAAAAAAAAATAACTAATTTCTAACCAAAATTTAAATTCCCCTTTTTTTCACTATGAGAAGAGTAAAACTGATTTATCCAGTCTTTTTGATAGTTTAATGTATTTCAGAATCTATTAAATGAATCTCTCAAATACACCTGCATGTCACCATCTGCGCTGATGAAGAATTTTTAACTATAAACTGCATTATTAATTCACATTTATATTCCATAAAACCAATTTTATTGATACTGATGGATTATGCATAATAATCTATGATTTCACGGTAACTCAGGAACATAGAGGACAAATATGTAATAAATGTCTCGGTCTTCCCTGCAGTTCCTTGCAGTGCAGACCCAAAATAAAATAACAACTTTGAAGATTGTCTCAGGAGCAATGCAATGTGGCAATAGATTAATTTCTTAATAATACCCAACATGATTAATAAGACATATGTATAATTGGATAAAGCCTATTTGTAATTCCCAACACTAACTCATGAAATTGCAAAAAGATATTAGTGAACATTTGCAATTAAATGGAATTTTTGTGGCTTCCATCCTTTAGCTCAACAGCAAAGATTTCAGCATAACGCACACTTTAATTAAGCAAGCAAGGTTTACAAGGATGTATACAGTTAACAGTAAGACTGTTATACTGACCAAAAAGTATGATCAAAATATTTTTAGAAATGGAAACAACATTGAACACCTGAATTATAGAGTAGTTTTTCTCATCTAAATTTTTAAGATACCAAAAGAAAAAAAATATTGAGTGACAGTTTCCATTCAATGTCAGTACTTTAAAGACAAAACAAAATTTAAAAAATAGCAACCATGGCAGTACTTGAATCAATTCCATGACAAGTATGCTGTCCATGCAGCTATAGATTAATAGTTCTATTTATAGTAAGACCACTATATCACAGAAATCTAGATGGTAAGTCCTATCATCACTGCACTGCAGCATATTTCTATGGTTTTCATAAAATAAATTTATAATACAAATCAATAAAAGAATTCTAATTTAATTAAACATTCTAATGTGATATAGATACAATATACTTATATTTTTGAATATGCAAAATACCTTTTCTTCAATAGCACATGAAATACTGAAGAGGTAATAAGCATATTTTGAGAAAAATTAGTTTTCTTGTACGCATATTTGCACATGCACACAATTACACTTAAAGGACCACTTTAAAAGTTCATGTCAATGCAGGGGACGTGAGGGATCCCAGTGATATTATATATTGTAAGTACACATAATACATCTGTAACTAATTCTATAATATTTCTAAAATGACGTGTAATGTATACTTGCATTTAAGAAGCAATATTGAAACCTACAAAGTTTTATTTGTAATTTCAACAGAGCCAGGCTGTCACCCAACAGATTTCCTTGCTCTGTGTTCCCTGAAAAAGTCTGAAATTACTAGTTTTCAACTACTAACCTTGCCAGAGTTTCATTATTTTATAGTGTACTACTTTTAGCATCTCTGATAAACCGTTTACATTATTGTTCAGAGGCAAATTCATGCTTTAGGAGATCTTTCTTAGAAGCAAGATTCAAGATTTCTAGATACTTAGAGATTTCTTCTAATTATTGGAGAAGGGAAAAGGAATGTTACAGGGAGCATAAGTACCTTTTATTTCTTTTTTTTTATTTATTTGTTTGATTGATTTTAAACTTATCCAGTCTTCTCTTACTTGGGGAGTACCACAATAGACACTTCCATTTTTTTCCCATGTTACATTTTAAATATTCTAGTCCCTAAAAAACAAACAATACGTTACAGAGATTTTTAGTCCTGGCCAGGCAAGCTGATCTGTATGGTGTATGCAAAGGTTAGCTTATTAGGAAACATTTAACATGGCCATCTGCATGCCGAGGATACTGATGGGCACAATCACTACATTCAATACAATGTACCCTGGGTTATTCAAAGGGCCACATGTGCTTGTCTTGTGGTGAAGTCTGTTATGCCAAGAATACTTTCCAGTCTGTGATAAAGCCTCACTGCACTGCACTTGTACTGTCTCTATCTAACATACCACAAGCTGCTCTCTCAGAAAGGTATGATATATTGATACAGCAGTTTGCTAAATTAAAAACTTACTCCAGAGCCACCAAGAAACATTTCATGAGATATTCTGTAGAACTTGGAAAGGCAGATGAGGTAAAGCAAAGTATACAGTCATACGTTTCTGCATTTGTGATTGGAGGCATCATTCTCATCATGACACTTGCAGAAGTAGTGTCCTCTTTAATAATGAAAAATTCTGTCTAGTCAAGCAGGAGCGTTAAAGCTACACCTGCTCTGAAAGGACAGCTTAAAACCAGGCTTTTCTAAGTTAATGTCATAAATATGTTACAGCAGTAATTTTTGTTCTCACTTGACTGAGGTGCATATAAATGTGACTTCTAAAAGTCACATGCTATTTCACTATACAACATTTCCACATTATTTTGTTATTAAAACCAATGAATCAGAATTTTTTTCTAATTTGTACTGTGTTTTCTTAGTTATGCCAGTGTCCACTCTACAATTGTACACTATCCATTAGGTGAGAAATAAGAAGTTGCTATTGCCAAGTGGAGTCAAGCACCAGCATTTCCTATACTGTTGTCTTCCTTCTTCTGCCAGTTACACACCTTCCCAAGAGCAGCACAGGAGGAAAGCAACCTTCAAAGAAGTGCTGCAGCCCCTCTGGCTGCACACATACATGTGCAAATGAGAGGACAGCAAGGAGCCAGAGCCAGGAGACTGTACTGACAGCTCCATGAGCAGGTCCCTTCTTACTTGAATCCAGTCAGCAATAAAAAAATCAGAGCATCTTTCCACTTTTCCAGTAGGAAAGTTACATTAGTGGACATATTGTATGATCAGCATGTCCTTGCTTTATAATACTATTTTATTTTGATCCAGGTGTCCTTCCTTACTTCAGGCTTCCCTTGTCTCACTCTGCAAGTTATTTAAGTTCTCATGACTTTGATGGGAATTAGGTGCCTACAAGACACCTCCAGGGAGACCTAGGAGGCTTTTTACTTCTCTGACGGATTCTATGTGTCAGCTCTGGCTTAGGAGTTTGCAGGGATAACATCAAAGACATTTTGTCTCTCTATGTGAGCAAAAAGAAGACTTTAGAATTATGACATTAAGTGATATCTAGAGAAGGGAAGGCTCCAGGGAAACCTTATAGCAGCCTTCCAGTACATAAAGGGGGCCTACAGGGACATTGGGGAGGCACTCTTTTTCAGGCAGTGTAGTGATAGGACAAGGGGTAATAGTTTTAAGCTGAAAGAGGGTAGATTTAGATTAGCTATTAGGAAGAAATATTTTATTGTAAGGGTGGCGAGGCACTGGCACAGATTGCCCAGAGAAGCTGTGGATGCTCCATCCCTGGAGGTGTTCAAGGCCAGGCTGGATGAGGCTTTGAGCAACCTGGTCTAGTGGGAGGTGTAAGGAGGCAAAGAAAAACAGGCAAAGGAGATCAGGGTGCTCTTCTCATACATTTCTGCTGAACACAAAGGAGGAGGAAACAATTTTTCCCTCTACTTCTACTCTTTTCAATGTAGTAGTTGCTTGCCATAATTTACTTTTATAGGTGATAGATGTTCCCCACAAACACCAGATGTCATGGCTTAAAGAAGCAAACATAGATGATGGTGGCGGGTGGGAGGAAGATTGAAAGGTTGGGGAGGGGAACAAGTGGGAAAGAGCTATGGGAAAATATGGTGGGATTTGGTTTTTTTTTTTTGTCTTCCAGGAGGTTACATGGAAACAGAGGCAGCAGCTCAGGAATCTCTGGGATTAGGCAAACTTGGAACCCAAGCAGAAAAAGATCGAAGACTAAAGAAAAAGTGAGTACCTTTTTCATGTGACTTTCATTGGCTCAAACTTGATTCAAATGTCAAGTTTTGTGTTGGTTTTATGCAGACATGCAATGAGAAGCAAGACCATCTACCATGGCAGTTTAGCACTTAGCGTGATTTTTTTCCAGTGTAAAGTTTTTCAAGATGCATATAAAATAGAGTGAAAAATATTTAGAGTCTGTCAACTGTACAACATAGTTTCATTTGTGAAAGAGCACAGGTTTATGAGAAAGAGACATTTTCAATTTCACATTGTCATTAATTCTGTGCCTTTTCCCTTCTGTGCCTTTTGCCTTCTGTGCAATTCCTAAAAAATAGGCAGGCATTTAATGACTCACTGCATGGATTTTTTTTCAGAGGGGAAAAAAAGATTTTTTTGCATTATCTGTTGAATACATGATTATTTCTGTCTATAGAAGTCAAAGGCTCCCCATAAACCCTAGCAGCTTCACTTTCTTTTTGCCTGTCAGCAAATTGCAACCTAGCTTTTTGTTGGCATAAATTATATAACAATTTAATGCTGTATTTGGTGCACCTCCTTGTAGAACCAGTACACTGACTCATAGCAGCTGCCAGGAGCTATGGAGAACTTTTACAATAAAGCTACAAACACAAAAGAAACCTCTTGGCAGCATCACAGTTTCAGTGTAATTAGAGGGAGTCAGAGAACAAAGATGGTACTTAAAAGTGACTTTGCAAATTCATTCTGTAAACAAACAGGTTTATTTTTCATTCATAACCTTTAACTTTAGTGCTAATTTTTGGATTCTGAAAGCCTCATTTTTAAAATTTGCAGGGTTTTCAGGTTTGTTTCAGTCTTTTAGCATTCCTTTGCAAAGTTTCAAGATAATTTTCAACTTTAATACAAAGAATCTAGGGATAATAATGCAGCTTCTCTTTAAATTTATATGTGGAATATTTTTAATCACTACTTTCATATCAAGTTCCTGATGAAATATAACTTTAAATGTAGACATCCATGTAATGTACAAATGTAAGTGTTCCATTTAAATCAGCCTCTATTTAGCAGTCATTGTGTTAGCTGAGAGAGAAGAAATGTTTTAAATTCAATTAAGAAACTAACAGTAACATTCACGGGGATATTGCAGTTGATTATTCTTTTCCCTGTATTGCTTATCTATACATTTTTATCACTCATTAGTCATTTAGAAATATGTGGACGTAAAGGGTATATTACTATGCTTTTTTACTAAATTTGGAAAGCATCTTTGAGGCCATCATTACCATTTGTAAAGAATATTACTGAATTTTCAGCAGCCTATTTTTTGAAGTCCCTATTTATCTTCCAGCTCTGAGGACTGAAGGTACCACACTATTGAAAGCACTTTGCAGGGATGAATGTGTTCACTTTGTTCACTTTCCCATATGTTAGTTCTTTAAACTGGATAAAATAACATAAACTTGACACATACTACTGCATACATGACATGACTACTTCATATATAAGAATGCCTACCAAGTTTTGGGTCTGGAAATAGTAGGTGGACAAGTAATCTGTTATTGGACTTCTGTCTTAATGTTGCACAATCAGACCTTTCCATGCTTTCTGCTTTTGAAGTCTTTCCTTTTTTTCTCCTGTGTCTGTCTGTCCTTGGTTCTTTATGGATTAGTTACAATCAAAATGTTCTCTGCTGGAAGGAAAGGAATCTCCTTTGTTACTATGACTATTCATCTAGTCTGAACTGTATACTATTTATCCTAAGTATATGTTATATACCTGTGTCATAAAGATTTTTATTTTTTTCCCTGTTCCTTCAGATTTGTCTGTCTTCATAGTTTCTCAATTTGGAATCCTTACAACTACTTTTAAGATTCTTCTTAATTTACTATCAGAGAAAAGTTAATATACATTGCTAATTTTTATGTATATATATATATACACACACACACATATACTATAAGGTTGTAGAGGAACTGTAATATGGGAAAAATGTAACATTTTGTTAGAGATATACATGAGATTCAACTAAATTATGATAGTCATTAGGGTGCCAAGCTCTCAACAGGGAGTAAGAGAATTGATACTTCCTTGTAAAAAATGCACTAATGTATTTGCATGTCTTATCTTAGAAAGTATTAAGTTGAAACAGTCCAGAAAGTAATTTAAATGAAAAGTTTGTCTCAGTAGGTCAGATTCCTTTCTGCCAACACTTAACAATGCATAATTCCTTCTGGAAGTAGAGCCCTCACATACATACAGTAGCTGTAAGTTTACCCGTCTGGGTAATGCAAATGAGAATACTATGCTGTGTAACGTTAAGAATGATAGTAATGTGTATGAGGTCTTTATAAGAGCTAATACGAGAAGTCTGAGAATCATTTGCTATCTCATGATGTAGCAGTAAAATTTAAGTCCAAGCTTTTGATTCCTTTTTACTAAACAAAACTGCCCTACAAACACTGCAGAGACAGGGATCCCAGTTGCTGGAACAGAGAGAGCAGAGCACTTCACCTTGGAAGATTTTCTGTGGATAGTTTAGATTGGGACGTAAAACCCTGAGAGAACCAGGCCCACCAGAAGGATAGTTAAAGGATAGGCTAAAACAGGGAAGCACTCCTTTGTATTACATTTCAGGTCTGGGAGAGCTTTATTTATGCTGGCTTTGAATCTTACTTAAAAATAAAACAAAACCAAACAAAAACCTCAAAACAGTCATCCCAGAGCCAATTCCCTTTTCTCTAAAACAGGAATAATACCACGTACTGAACTTAGGTTTCTCTCTTACACCCATAAGTCAAGTGAAATGGCTTTCAGCCCTGTTAACAGCTCAGCGAACATCTCCTTCAGTTCAATGGTAGTTCTGGTGCAGGAAAGCAAGGATATCTCCCCTTGACATGAAACCAGACATCTGATTCATCACTGTGATCAACACATTCTCACAGTACTCATGAGCTTCACCAGAGTTTGCAGTTAGCTTTGAGTTGGTGACTTGAAACTGGATAGAAATTATTATAAAAGGAAAGGTTCCTGTTAAAATGTTATCCATTTTATTTCTTTCAGTTGAATTAACCTCTTGAGTGAAAAAAATGCTAAATTTATAAATTTGCATTTTTGAATGTTTTCAACTTCATCAATAATTCAGCAAGGATGCCCCTACCCCAGGGGTGAAGAATTGTCAGCTGCTGCAGCCAGTAGGTGCTAATGGTTCCACAGATGTCCTGGCAAGCACATGCATTGAGCTTGCTCTGGCCTCATGGAGTTACAAACACATTGTGGTGTGTTATAATATTTCACTACAATTTACATGCATAGATTAGATTACTTAGTATTAGATTTCACTCTGAAAAACTTAATAAGAGAATATGATAATTCTGGACACCAGTTCTCTCTCTGGTGATTATATTGTCATTAACCTAAATTTCAAAGTTTTCCTGCTTGCTTAGAAGATGCTATTTAGATGTAAAATGTCTTTCAATTTCAATTGACTACTTAGATATCATTAAAATGTAATTAACAGTTTATCTCAATTATATACTAGACACTTATAAACCTCAAACAAGAGTTTCTATTCATCCAAAATTTGGTTATTACAGTAGATTTATTAGAAAGAAGTCTTTCTCCTAAGGCATCAAAGAGAAATTAAGGAAGCTGTGTAGAATTTTTAAATTAGACTCAACATGTTCCTAAAATCATCTGAAAAGATGAACTTAGGTTGCCTGACTGATCCATAGGTATTTAGTCTCAGACATTAAATATATGACACCTATAGTTAATATTAAAACTTTTTAAGTTGTGCTTTTTGTAAACTGAGCATGCAGTCCTAGAAAACAAAACATTAATGCTGAGGTTATTTAGAGGGTTTAGAGTGTTATTCCATTGTTTGGTGAAAATAAGTGGTGTTGGGCTGTGACAAAGAATAATGCATTGCATTTTTATTATTTAAACTAGTCTTTACGTTTCACTTCAGTCATCCTATACAGGAGCTGTTAATAATTTGTATATAATGTCTTCTGACTTTTCTCTGACTCTCAGAGCCTGTCTGACTAATGAGTAACTTCTTCGAGAAAACTCAGAGTTTAGGACTAAAAGTCCTAAAACTTTAAACTAAACTGATGCCGTCTGTGTCACCATTACATTCGAGTCCCCTAATGATTCACATAATTTGCACTCATCTAATCATAAATTTTATTTGGTAAAGATATACTCTCCAGAATACACCCATCACTGAAATGAAGAGTGGAGCGTTTCTCATAGTTTTTTTATTTTTCTGGTGATCAGCCAGTCCCCCGTGAAAAATGGTTACCTAATTTCCAGTTCTCAATTTTGTGGTTGAGTCCAGCTACCATTTCTTTGTGACTGGCTATACACTATCCCAGCTGTTCATAACATCCTCCTTTGTGGGTATTTTTGCACCAAATAATATGACAGTACACAATAACCTGGCCTTGGGATTCACTCAGGGTTGTCATGACAGCCTCAACTGGGACCCAGCGTACGAAGTTTCAGGTCAGTCCAGTTTCTATTGCAACTCATTAAGGTTTGCGGAGGGTTCAGATACAGGCATAGCATCCTCTGGGACAGCAGAAGTTTATCAGTGTGCGTGTCCCACAAGACAATACAGCTCTAAAGAGTCCTGCTTTGTCTTTCAAAGTGCAATATAGCTCTGAGTGCCAGTAATATATATCCTTTTCAAATGTAATGTTTGATTATATCTGTAACAATATGCAACGAACAGGCTGGGACAATTGGGGTTGTTCAGCCTGGAGAAGAGAAGGTTCGGAGGAGACCCAATAGCAGCCTTCCAGTGCCTGAAGGGGGCCTACAGGAGAGATGGGGAGGCACTCTTTATCAGGGAGTGTAGTGAGAGGACAAGGGGTAATGGGTATAAGCTGAAAGAGGGTAGATTTAGACTAGATATTAGGAAGAAATTTTCCAGTGTGAGGGTGGTGAGACACTGGCACAGGTTGCCCAGAGAAGCTGTGTATGCCCCATCCCTGGAGGTGTTCAAGGCCAGGCTGGATGAGGCTTTGAGCAACCTGGTCTAGTGGAGGGTGTCCCTGCCCGTGGCAGGGGGGTTGGAACTTGATGATCTTTGAGGTCCTTTCCAGCCCAAACCATTCTATGGTTATGAATATACTGTGAAATATGTATCTGCCTGAAGAAGGAAGCAGGCTGAAGATAGACAAAAGTATCTATGTTGCATAAAAATATGTGATGGTTGGTCATAAACACTGATATTTTACAGGATGTGTTTGTTTCATCCTGTGCAAGGCACCAACATAAGGCAAGCTTTAAGAGACATTTAAGTGCTGCGTAGTCCCAGATTGCCACACAGAGGTGGATTTGACCTTGTGCACGCTGCTAGTATAGTTTGAGATTGGCCTGGGCCATTGCTTCCTCAGTAATCCCAAATACATATTATTTCCCTGAAAAAAACTTTACATTCGTCAGCTAACCTGGATCATACTGACAGGATTCAAGCCCAGAAGCTGATAAATGTCCTACTTTATTAATATGAGCATTTGAATAACAATCATTACTTACCTTATAGCTGATGAATTAACTGCACTGTGTCATAATGCTATCGCTCCCAGTCGTCTGGTGGTGTTAGGATGAGTCAAGAGCATAGCTTTAGCTGCACTTTTTTCTTCAATTTTGTTTGTTGTGACACTAGACTAGAATCTATTAATTCCACATTTCCAAAACAAGCTTAAGATGTGAGGTTTATATTTTACAAGGAAAATCAAAGTAAACCCATTCTTTCCTATGAGCCTGTGTTGGGGAGATTTACTCCACAGGTATAGGTTTTTGGTTGCCAGATATAGCCTCCTGCCTTCATGTGGATTGCAGAAAAGCCTTGATGTGCCAGGACACATACATATTCTTACATACTTGAATAAAGCCTTGTAAAATCAAGACCTAAGTAATTCTCATATGTAAAATTACAGTGTAAAAATAAATTCTTAGTATTCATAGCCTAATAATTAACCTTGGAGAGAGAATTGCAATGCTGTTAAGTCTCAGCTGACTACAGTGATGTACATGTAAAAAGGCAGTAACTTCCATATGAATAGAAGAGCATGCTGTATTAATTGACTCTTCTTTACACCTAGAAGAAAAAATTATAAATGTTGATAAATTCCTTTGATAATTTTGACAAATTCCTAATCGTGCTTCAGTCCTTTTCTTTTGTTGGTTTTTATTTGTATAGATTCTTCAAAAATGGGGAGATGATAGAGGGAAGTCACAAGAAATAGGCCTCATGTTGTGGTAATCCACATTTAAATAAAATCAGTAAAAGAAAACAGAACACTAGGACTTAGATTTGCCTGTAGAAAATGTAAGTTTGAGATCCCTGTCTAGGTAGACCTTTTTGTGCTGTAAGAGTTTGAAATGCTGTAGTTATTTAGTTTCTTTTGAATCCACACAATGCCCCTTTAATTAGGTTTTATGTGTGCAACTGCAATTAGAATTTGACATAGTGTATTTGTGACTACAAATAATCTCTGTCCTCTGCAGTATGCAAATAGCTGTTTCTAATTATTTTCTTAATTGCACACATTTTGAAAAAAATGAATCCAATTGGATTAATTAAGGTCTTTTTATATGCCATCCATCTAGTGTTCCTGTATACTTGATGCTTATTAAACACCATTATATCCCAAACATACATGATTTATTTTTTACAGTAGCTCTTAAGAATACGGTGCCCTTTTCCTCCCCAATCTTTTATTTACTGAATCTTTAGGAAAATTCAGGTTTTGCATTTAATTTCTTCCCTTCCTACCTCATCTATGAGAAACTACCTGATGTTGTTAGTAGCTTTCAGACTCATCTTTAGTTCTTCCTCCCTTTCTAGCAAAAAATTCTGTGTTCAGGAGCTATTATTTTCTATTTTCTTATTCCAGTGGAGGAAAGAGAGGTATTCAGTATTCTGATGTGCGGTTTAGGATTGTCTGCTGTGTCCACCATGATTTTCTCTTGTCTAATCCTTGAGACATACCTAAAGGTGAATTTTCTTTTTAAGCTTAATTCCTTTAGCAAACATTTTTAACACTTTAAGCTTTTGCAATGTTAAAAATGTATCTTGCTCTTACATTAGATGCTTGGAGCCTTTTTAGCATTACAAATGTAAGGATATATGGGTATTTATCTTGCAGAGGAATATTAAACCCTGTTCAGATTATTCTGAGGAAGCAAAAACTTATAAGACATATTTTATTCTATATCTAAATCATATTTTTTAAAAAATCTTGTATTTTTAAAATGTTTTTATCCTTTGACAAGTTTTTTTTTTAATTTTTTTCCTCATAAAAGATAAGGATATTTGTATCAATGAGCTGCAAGTTTTTAATCAACCAAAACCAGAACAAAGCCCCAGTCCCTGCCTTATCTACACATATAAACCTATCTATTGCAATTTGGGATTTCTGGATAAATATAAGCATCAACCCTAATGCATGCAGCTGGCCCTGTAAGCAATGATCTCCAGCAGATGCAAATATCCTGTCAGATTAACTGTAGAATTAGGCTTTAAGGGAAGAATGGATAAAACACAGCAGAGGAAAAAAATTCCACATATCTTTTAGTTTAATATATGTCTAAGGGAAATCATTGTGTTCCTTCATAAAATGGTGATAAAATTGTTGTCTTATGAAAAGGTGAAAGCTAGAATTTAAAATTCCACTTTTTATACTGTATTTTATTATTCTGTGGACAAGATGATTAGGAAGTGAAGGGATGTCCCTTGATCCTCTGCTTCTATAACAGGACAGACTGGAATGGCTTCAGGTCCCATAAGTTATCCCCAAGCGACTGCAAACTGCCAAATCATTAAAGCTGACAGAAATTTACTCACATTCCAATTAGCTCCCGTGTTTATTTCTCTCCACACATACCCACAGGAGTATTCAGGGGAAGACACAAGACGTGGGACTTCTGGTTCAATATATTCTGGAAGGTCCAAAATTAAAAGCTTTTCCAGCAAAGGTGTTCAAGTCAGTCTTTGCAGTCAGCTCAGTAGAAAATGAGCATGATGGAGATTTTGGCCCCAAGATCACAAACGCATATTCAATTCAAATGGTACTTTCGTCAGATTTGGTAAATGCTTGGATAATTCTCTAGCCCTTTATTTATATTGCATGCCTTTGTTGACCTTCGTTTCCTTAATTTTCCTTTCTTCTGTGTATCAATTTGTCATTTGTTTCCATCTACTTTTCTGTATCTCACTTTCTCTTCTCTCTCCCAGCCATTCTACTGATCTCACACACATGAAAATAAAATTTAAGATCATGAAACCAGCCCCCTCCTGAACTCAATGAAATGTCTGCAACCTCTTCTTAATTAATCAGAGCACAGGTGTTTCACTCCAAAGTTTTCTACAGCTATATCTACCAAGCATTTTTATGTCTCGGTAAATCATTTGTTAATAGAAATATAATTTTCTGAGATATCCGGGTTTAATTCAGGCAGATATTTTTCTTTTTATGATGGAAATTAAAGGATGCTGAAGAAAATTTATTATCAGCGATGGCATCCTGCTTTCTCCTACAGGTACTGTTAACAATTATATTGTCAAGAATAGGTTACCTAGAGGGCAAATCACTCATACCAGTTTTGCTACTAATCTAGTATTAGTGTGAATGCTCCAATTAAAATGCTGCACAGCATGAATAACCATTACAAATGTTAGTCACCTATGTGCATATCACCTATCTGCATACTTTAAAAAAAAAAAAAAAACACCACAAAAACCTGAGTCTAGGTCATTTATGATTACTGTAGGATATTTTGCTAAAATATTACTAAAGTGCACATAGAAAAGTAAATCTTGGTTTGTAGTCCACTCAATTTTACTGTGTCTCTATGGTAATTTGCTGAAATCCACAGGTTTGGGATTTTCAAGATTTTTGGTGTTATACAAAAACCATTATGAAATTATTCAAATCTGGGCAAAATGCTCTGATTTGAAAATCTATTCCGCATTCACTGTGTTTACAGATCTTTGGCATGAATATGTATTGTAGATAGTAGATGTGGTTGAGCTGTGTTGAGTGGTACCTAATAAATAGCCAACATCAGTTTAGTGAAAATCTCATTTTGAAAGATGCATCTGTTCTTCACAAGAACATGTAACTTTTTTTAAGCATTCAAAGACTAGTTAGAAAGATTTCCATAGTTATAATATTGGTATTATTTTATCTATCATGATTTTTTTTATGGACTATCTGTTCATTAACATTTATGTGCTTTTTTTTTTTTCCATTCATCTATCTCCATCTCATGAAAAGCATATCTGGGTAAGTTAAAACACCATGGCTGCTGAACATATTCGTTTTCAGCACCATGTTTATTTTCTATATTTTATTCTTTTTTTTTTTCCCCCGTGAACCTTATATAAGAAATCAATGTAGAAAAACTGATCCAAATGAAAACTTTCAAAGTATTCAAAAAACCTCAAAAGCATACACAAATTAAGGTCAGGACTTGCCCCTGAAGGGCTTAACATAATGGATTAACTATTTGGAGATTACTGCTGTCAGTTTTTTTAAATAAGCACATTTTGGGAAGTCTAAAGCCCAGAATCACAAAGACATTTGAAAGTTTAAGTCAGTGAAAAGATCGTGAGTGTGAAGGCCTAGATCAACAAATGCTGTTAAGGCATAAATTCAGTTCAATTGAATCACAGAGGACTCAAACTCATAAACAATCTAGTAATCTGGAGTACACAATTTTTTGAGCCCTCATGCTGTATAGTAGTACAATAATATTTTGTTTGTGCGTATAATTTTACTATTTTCACCAGTTCATTTTTTAATGTTTGGGTGTTTTTTTAATTGTTGACCTGATATCAAGTTTAAAATCTTCATCTCCTCTTTGATCAATAGTAGAAATGTTTTATTTTCTTGAATAATTTTTGTAATTTATAGAGAAAATTTCATCCGTTCAAAGCTTGTATGAGCTATAACTTTTTTAAAATGTAAGTATGAAAAACTCCAAGAGAACAGGGTTTACCACATTAAATGAGAATATGTGATTATGAGATGGGTTTATAAAAATAGATTTGATAACATTTAATCACCCTGGGCACTCCGGGAGTCTCCTATGTAGCACAGTACATACAAGATTGCAAGGCTATATATTATACAAGTCTGTTTACTTCACAGACGTTTTCTTATTTGTTTTCATAGTAGCTCTCAGCAGCTTTAATTTATTAGGGTCTGTATTAAGCATTCCTGAACATGCTTCACTTAGTTTAATGTATGTCTTCAGAAAAAAGAATGCTGCCCTTCAGTTTGCATACACTTAAAATATACACCCATATAGAGTAATGACAATATTGTTAAACTTGATTTGCTAATCTGTGTTATCTGGGATGCTGTTAAAGTTATACTTCCTTGCTTTATAGATTTTAAAATTTTAATTTATCAGTTGCATCTTGATTTCTGTATTTCAGACATTTTTGCCAAAAACTCCTTAAAGCTGGATACAAAACATTTAGTAAAAAAAAGGAAATTGAATTTTGCCCATTGTTCTCAGTCTGACTATTATATTAATTATCAATGAAGAGAAAGAATGAGGATATCAAATTATTTAAAAGCCAGGTCACTTAAGTGCCAGAAGTGAAACAAGAGATGACCCAGGTTTTAATTAGTGTAGTCTTTAAGTCAGATGAACCCTTTCAGATTAAATTAAATCAACATTATATGGCAATATCAAGTCAGAGGCTCTTTTTTTCTTCTACTTCCTACTTTAAAAACATTTGTAGTCTTAGAGGAAATAAATAGATGAAATGTAACTTGTTATTTTTATTAGACTTTTAATATAATTATTAATTTATACAAATTCAGCTCCTTAGCTACAGGATTCTAGCATCTCTTAAATCTTTAGCAAATTACAATAGAAAAGATAAAACCCAGATTAATTCATTAGAAATCCTCTTTCCTGAATTTTGGAGTCTTTGAACGTGAGCATGTTAGCTTTTGAGAGGCAGATGTGTTTAATCTTAACTTGAAATCATAGGTTTACTCAGATGAATGTAGCATAGCATATTTGATCCAGAATTTCTATTTTCTAGAAACCAATAATGCATAATGTTTTGTTGTAAACTAAGCATTTTAGTATTCGTGATAATAATCATGATAGTGTCAGTAATAATAATAATCAGAGGTTCTGCTAGGTAAACACTTTCATCTGCTATCCTTTTGAAAAAATGTCTATCAGTAAAGGTCATTTCATAGGATCTAAATTGTCCATTAGCCTAAATATTTAAATAAATTTTGCTTGTATTTTATTAACGTGATTTGGCTCTTGACTTCATCATGCATCCTTCTCAATTTATCTCACATTTATGATTATATTTTAATTAAGAGACATTATAATATGTACAATATAATATCCCTGAGGACCTTTCATGTGAACCCTACTAGAATTATCAGAATAAATGCTATAATTTGCAGAAATATGAAGATCTGTGTTGAAACATTCTTCAAGTTTCATCAAGAGAGTATCTGTACTTTGTGTACTACACTGAGTGTTTGCATTATATGTATCAGAAATCCTAAGCTGTTATTTCTTGTTTGCTTCATGAGGGGGAGCCTCGTCTTCATAAAGAAAATTGAATGTCACTGAATGACATGCTTTAAATCACTATCTTGTTGACTTTCCACACAAAGTGTTTTTAGAAATTATTTTTAATAAAGTCCATTGAGGTTTATCAATGAGTTGATGAGGGCTGCTGATGCAGAGCTGGATTTTTCTCAGGGCAAGAGAAATATATATATATATATGTATATGAAATAGAAAATTTGCAAGATAATAACATAGTTTTGCTCTTATCATTTCCCCCTTCCATGCTCCCATGTACCTTTGGTGTCCAGAGAGATATTGAAGCATTCATATAGTCCTCATGGTATGAGACAGTTGTGCTCTCAGCTTAGTAGGCTGATATGGGCAGTTGTACCTGGCTCTCAGAAGAATGGTGCTAAAGAAAATGGCCCTGTGTAACAATGTCCTTAGGAAGTCATTTTGGGGAGGATTAAACACCAGAAGTCATTGCTAGGGAGGCAACTCTGCTTGTCTGCCACACAACTCCACAACACAACATGATGCGTTTCTTCTTTTCAGTCTTTGGTAGAAGAGTGAAGACAGGCCATGTTATGAGGCACTCTCTAAAACAGACAAATACAACCATCTCTGAAATTTTGGATAAATGTTAAACAGTCGATGTTCGTGAAATTTAATTACTTTGCAAAACCAGGCTCAGAGTAATGATATATTTTAAATAGCGTGTGGCAGTTACTCCTATAATGTCTCCAGGAAGAGGATTTTACTCTTGAACAGTAATAATGTTATCGTTAAAAATACGGCTTTAATTTGGAATTCATTCCACTGGTAGTAAGTGGTTTAAAGCCTTATCTGCAAAAATAATACCATTTATAGTAATGCCTAATTAATGTCAATTCTTCCTTATCAGCTTGTTTTCATATGTTGCCAAAAAAAACAAATGAGCATAAAAATAATTACATTTTAATTCTCTGCCTCCTTACCAATGCAAAGTGAACACATAATAACATGTAGTACTCTTCTCACAAAGTCTTAGGAGCAGAAATCCCCACGTTCCCCTGCAAAGTATCTTCTAAAATAGAGAAACTGTATAATACTATTCATGATTTCTAAACCCTGTCTTTGTAATAAAAGGAAGAGGGAGTGATGAGCTTTTGTGTTGATGAGCTTTTTTTTGGTGTTCATCTCTTCTTCCTCCTGTGATCTGTTGTCTGGTTTTGCAGTTGCCAATATTTGACTGTGGGGACCCTCTGTTTTCAGGAAGCCAGTAACTATCCCACAAGGACAACAGTACATTCAGGCTGTTCTAAAATATTCAGATTATATTCAAAATAGGCAAAACACCAGATTCATTTTTCTGATGATTTTCACTGTTGATCAAAATGATACATGTATTTTCTACATGACACTTTTAACTTCTTTTGAGAGAGTGGTGTTTTCACTATAGTGCTCATTTATATCAAAAAACCAAGACTTTTCCTCAACTGTAAACTACAGAATATCTATCAGTCAAAAAACAGAAATTCTGGGGTTAATTCTGGTTTAGAAATTGAAGGTTCAGGTTCTGCAGATCTCCTAGTGTGTATTAGAAGGTAGTTAAAGAATACTGTTTAAAAAGTAAAACATAATTTAAACACTTTAATATTGGAGAGGTGTTTAAATGAAGCATCTGAGGGAAAGAAGTATAAATTCTGAAGCATAAAATTGTTTTAAAGAGAAAGAAATATTATAAAAATCCTTTTAGTAGCCCACATCAATAAGTGAGGCACAGGCCTTGTGATGGTTGCATTCCCTGTGCACGCCTGAGTAAAGGATTTTAACTTTACACTAAACATATTTTCAAACAAACCACTTTCCTTCTACATGCCAAGACCTTTTGGATTGTGTTTATCATAGTGTAGTCTTTGGCTATCACATATATATAAGGCATCCAATTTCTGGCCTGGCCCCATTTTTTTTCAGCCAATATCAATAATCACAACTACATTTTTGTTTAGCTCTGAAGAAATAGAAGTGCATTCCTACTCTGGAAGAGTGTGTTTGTTTGAGAAGCACTGGAATAATGCTAAGCCTCCCCACCAAGCCTCAGGCCATTTCAAAGGTTGCAAAGTCACAGGGAATTCCCTAGAAATACCTATTTTATAATTGCACCATACAGGAAGTAAGCTTTTCATGGAAGCAAGAACTTAAAGTGCCAATGCCTCTTCTGCAGGCACCTCAGCTCCTAAGGCCCCACAGGGATTCAACACCAAAACAGAAAATAAGCCAAAAGATCCTCCCCATCTCATTGCAAACCACGTGCTTCTGCCCTCCTGCTTGACACGGGAGACCATCATCACAAGCAAGGAAGGCCAGTGGCCCTCAAAGCTACAGTCTCCTTGTGACAGTCAGCCCTGCTCTTTCAGCCATAAGGTGCGAAGAGAATACCCTAGATAAGAAAAAAATCTGGGATCAGGTTTCTCCAAGGATGGTGCCTCTATGGGACTCCTGGCTGCAGAAGGGGCCACTCCCTGGACTTGGGCTGGCTTTGGCACAGGAACAAGCCATGTAGGGTTTTGTGGGGTCCATGCTGGCCAGGCAGGGAAGGAGCATCCCTGAGAGCTTGGCTCTCCCTGAAGACAGCTGTGCCAGCTCGCAGCCCTGGTGGCAGCAGGAGCCAGGCAGCCCTGTTGTGGCACCTGAGGAAGGTACAGCACTGCTGTAGCATCCCAGGCACCCCACAGAACTGGCTCCGAGAGAAGGTTGCACCCCAAATACCTCCTCCACAGGTAGCTGGGAGGTGGCTGTGTCTGGCCATGCCTTAATTCTGCTTTCCCAAGCAGCCAAAGGTGTATGTCTGTATTGGCCTTCACTGCATGTCTCCCTGGGAATATGGGATTCCTGCCCCTCCACCAGCCACTGAAGGTGACATGGTGTTTGTGTACCCAGAGAGCAACTTTTCCTGAGGATTTTGCTTTCATAGAAAGCAAGGATAGATCTACAATGTCTTTGGACATCTGAGTGACAAAGGGTAAGGTATACTGCAGAGGATGTGTGGGAGGGGAAGGTAGATGAACTTCAGTTATGCTGTCAAGTGTTTTTAGTGTTACATATTACTACAGCAGAAACACAGGAAGGAAAGCAACTTTCTTTCTATTAGTATTCAGAGCGAGGGATTTAAACTCATACACAAAATTGCTATTTGAGATCCATTTTCTACTAAAGCCAAATTCTCTCAGTCTGGCCCCTCAGCAGTGCAAAAATCCCAAAAGGCGTACTCCTTATGAGTAAGATCACTCAATTGCTTTTGTCTGCTGTGACTTTGTACTACATATATTTGAAAGGCTGCTAAGGCAGTGAAGAATTGCCAAGGGATAACTGAACCACAAAGTCTGTAGTAATAAAGGAGGAAAGAGCAAAACTGAAGCTATAATTCCAATATTTCCTTGGTATGTGGGAATGTAAACAAATTGTAAACATTAGCATAGACCATTTCTAACTTGTTTTTTTACTACAGCTTGTTGCTGAGAGCATTCTTTTACGTTTCACTCAGTAGGAGGCGGCTGAAAATATGTTGTTAAATACCAGAAGAAAACACTTTTGAAGGACTTATTTTTCTATGCCACCACCACAGTGGGTTCTTTATTCCTGCTCCAGGAATAAAAGTGTCCAGTCAAATGGTTGATTGTGTTAAATATGGAGCATTCTCCTGATAGTTTAGCTGCCTGGCCAATGCATAACTTTACCAGATATTTAATACTGCTGTATGAAAAGTATATTTTAAGCTTTGAGAATTATGTTTTACATACACACTCATTTGCAGTCCAGAGATGCTGCACATACAGGAGTTGGATTGATTTCTGATCCACTCAATAGAGGTCTATCTATGTGTATATGTATAAAATTGAGAAACCACATAAATTCTATAATTATGAAAATGTATGCATCAGAAAACCACATGTATTTCTTTTGTATATAAGCAATAGTAATAAATAAATTAACATGAAAGTATTACATATACAACCAACTCTTAATTAGCCACACATTGCCTATTTAAGATGCAGAATAGCTCTACTCCAGAGACCCTGTGCATAGCTGTTCCAGCAGGGTTTAGTGTTTCAGACACAGAGACCTCCCATACCTGGCTGCATTACCTCCATGCTTAGCTCCAGTCTAGAAGTAGACAATTTCGGGCCTTTCTGGGTCATTACCAGACCAGGGCTAAGCTAGTCTCAGAAGGAATCCCTTGGTTATCTCACTTCACCAATGTCTTCTAGTATATAGGTGATCCTTTTATAAAGGGTATCCCAATTCTGTGTTGCTTCAGCTAAGAAGAGACAGAAACTTGCCTTTTGTACAGTAGGTGTTTAAAGAGATGTCAAGATGCACCAAAAAAAAAAAAAAAAAGTTTGGCATAGATTAAGGAATACATTAAAAAAAGGGAAGGAGCCATATAGTTCAGTGCTGTTTTCAATGCCTGTTCTACGCCTGTCATCATGCTTCACTGTTGTTACAAAAAGGCACGCTTGCATCTATATTGTCCCTACATATACCTCTACATATTTAACATTTTTTGATGAATTTTTAGACATGAACTTCTGGAAGAAGCTCGGAGAAAGGGTTTGCCTTTTGCACAATGGGATGGGCCAACAGTGGTTGCCTGGCTGGAGGTAAGTGTTGGCCATAACTCAGAAATATGAGTCACATTTGTAGACTGCTTCTGGGTGTTCATCCTTACAAATTCTAAAGAGAATGTTAAAGTTTCCTCCTCTCTCCCCTGAGCACTGTGCCATGAGCACTAAGCAGATTTTGACAATGGATAGTGTAAATCAGAGACTAGGGCTGAAAAAAGTAAGAGAGGATTGCACAGAGGGATAAGGGCAAGAAAAAAGTCTTATCAAATGCACTCGAACCCCGCATTTTTGGAATCTTATAATTTCTCAGTCTCTAAATATCTAGGAACTTTACAGACAGGGTTTATGTAGGATGATGTAGTAAGGAGAAATTAGGTATCAAATTTTATTTGAGGCTAACACAGAAGCTACATCTTCAGAATTTTTAATAAAATTAAAGATTTTTTAAACTTTCTATCTTTTTAAAATATAATGGGAAAGGGCTTATTTACCTAGATATCACTCAGAACAGGAAAAAGAGGTGTTCCTCTCAGCATTTTCACCTAGGATGTGCGAGATCCAAGTTGAAATCTCCCTGATTTGACAGGCAGTGCCTTCATCTCTGAAATGTGGTCTGCAGAGAGCTCTCCTTTATTTGAACAGCCTAAATGAATGGATTTTGGAACCCATCAAGAGAAACATTCAGCAGAGCTGTCCATCAGTTTTGACAAAAATCAGTGAATGTTTTAGGTGAAGGAACTATTAAAAAAATACTTACCCAGATGCTAAGGGGAGGAAAAGGCAGAAAGTAAGGATGTTCTTACACAAATACACAGTCACTTTTACATGGCAAAGCTGTATCACTTCAGTGGAGATACAAGCTCTTTGTTGGCTCAAGGAGCAGATGTCTATTCCTTGTCTATACCATGAGTCCGTGTATATTCCCATCTATTCTCATGTCTGCTCTGGGAATCATCCATTGATCATCAGACAGAATTTGTAGAGTTTTCCCCTTCAATTAAAAAAAAGGTCCCTCTCCCAAGCTTTAAGGGGAATATGTTCAGGGGATCAATGAAGGATGAGGAATGAAAGCATCAAATGTCTACAATATTTCTGCTTCAAATTGGAATTGGTGAAACTACATAATGAAAAAGATAAAAACTGCAGAAAGGCAGTTCAAGTGTTTGTGCATGACCTTGGAAAATGGAATGGTACCTTCCTTCCCCAAAAAATATCTCTGCTAATGTGGAATATTCATTAATTCAGCCACTACCTGAATTTTTCATATGACTTTGAGAGTTCTGTAACTGGATTTCTGTCAGTCAGAAGTATTCAATATTACAGGCAAAGCTGATTTGCTGGAAATGTGAACATACAAAGGTCTATACATTTCTGAATACTGAGAAAAATCCGTGCTTGATGTCCTCCAATGTGATCCAAAATTTGTAGACTTTTTGACAAGTTAAGCCCTACTCTTTTTCTCCCTTGATTCTTAGCTGCAAAAGAAGATAATGCTTCCCACTGTCTCAGAGAGGGGCTGTAAAGAGAAATTGGTATCTGTGAACGTCTTGAACTCTATGATGAGAGTAGCACAGGAAAGCCCATGAGGAAGTTTATGTTGCAGTATTCAATGCAGATTGAATACTGATGATAAAACGATATGAGGGCAGAAGTACTGTATTTATTCAGTGAGCATCAGTGCATGTAATCAGCAGATGGACACTGTGCATTTCTTATTCTCCTGAGGAAAATATAATATGTGAACCTTCAACTAAAAATTTAAATTAATATTAAAGAAGACAAATGCCCAAATTAAAGAAGTATCTGTGATCACAATTGTGACATTTCCAAACTTTTCAGGGCTTAACTTTTTGGCCTTAGCATTTATTCTGGTCATTTGTATGTAGCACAGACATAGCTGAGATATATTTTAAGAACCGTGGGTTTTGTTAAGTAATTCTGGAAAACTATATCAATCTTGATATCTGGGTTCTCTTCCTAGAACAATTACTATGCCCTCTTTTTAGAGACTGTTTTCATCTAACTGCATTTTCTAGTAGAGACAGCTGTTTATTAAAGAACTAATTTACCTAATGAGTGGCAAACATTTTGAATCTATGTCTGCAGGGTGAATAAATCCCAGTATTTACACCTTCCTGCTTTTCAAGTGCATGTATGAAAAAAATTAATGTCAAATGAAATGGGAGTATTAAATACATTTTACAGCTATGTATAGTTTCCTCATGGCCCTTTGTTTAAGTGCAACTGGGTGCAATCTACATAATTTTTATTTTCGCTTTTGACTTTCATGAAACTTTGTATTTTTTTACAGTTATTTGGAATTAGAGCGTATTTTTAATAATAATAATTAAAATAATAATAATAATTAATGACTAGCATTGGATGGAGGGCAGTGGCTCATCCCATCAGTGGGAAGGGCTTTCTGAAACATGTTGCAGTCGTTCCTCAAGCTCTGTGATACGTCAGGAGTCAGTACAGAAAAGCCTGACTGAGCTCTTTCGGAATCTGACATTCAAGTCTGCTTTGTCTGTGACATAAAAGTGATCTAACAGCTGCCTTTTAAGTAAATATTTCCCAGATATGTTATAGAGTTGTTAATAACCACACACTACTTCCCTGCACTGCAAGAAATTAAATAAAAATCCTTTCAATTTGTCTCTGCTTTCCAGATTTGCTGGTGAATTTACTGATGGCATATTTTGACTCGTTTCCTGGACCTTGTGTCCTCTTTTAGTAAGCCATTATTAAGAGAAAAAATTAAAATAATGAAATCAGCTAATTCTGATGGCCTGTTCAAGATGCACCTAGCTAGGTCCATCTTTGTTTTCTATTGTTATCCCCACAATCTCAGTGATATGGCATTCATTGCTTATGTCCTTCTCATGGTTTTTGCTATAGCATAATGTATTTCATACTGTGACAAAAACTTTCCACATGTATGTATCCCTGCTATGGAATTATCTCCTTAGGGAGCAAAGAGCTGTAGACACTGACAGTCATATTAATGAGGCAGCACAAAATGAGAAAGCTGAGAAAACCTAGAGGAATTCATACTCAGTAGGTCCCAGGAGAGACTGCTACGAGTGGAGAGTACCTCTTACAAGGAAAGACTAATGAAGTCTTGACATTAAGACAATGAAGCAAGGGGCTGTTGCTGACGTAGGCTGGTAAGACTAACAGAAGGAGAGGAAAAGCATGAAGTTACAAGTATGTATCTTCTAAATCCACAGTTGATGTAGTGGTCAAATGTTTCTGTGACTTCTAACTTATTTCTAGCTGGGAAGTGACACCATACTAGACTGTTTCCAAATTTACAGTAAGCTCTGTCCTCACGAGGCTGGTTATCTGAACTGTGCTTGGTTTATTTCTACCAAACAAGTAAAAGTGGAGAAATGTAAGATTGTGCCTGATGAGTACAGCATGGGGACTAATATGGAAAAAGAGAGAAAGCCATTTTAGTTTGAAAGTGAAAAAATTTACTGAATCAATTCCTCTTAGATTGATTTCTGCATGTGATAAGACTATCAATGGGTAGTAACACTGACTTGTGCCACTACTTGCTCATTAAAGGCTTAGGAAAGGAGTAGCCCAGGTGATGGAGGCACACAGCTCTAAAAATAATTCAGAGCATCCGTTGCTTTAAAGTTCTGGTTACAGTAAAAGCAACAAAAAAGTTCACATGAAACCATGGCAATTTCAAAGGTTCTGAAACAATTAGTTTCTTTAATAAGACTGTGATAGTCATACTCATTTGCTTGTATCACCATGCTTATCCAGATTGATAGGTGCCTTGATGATTAATTTCATTTGAGAAATGAAGCAACGCTTTAGATGAATGTGTCCTTTCTCTCAACAGCTCTGGCTAGGCATGCCAGCCTGGTATGTTGCTGCCTGCCGTGCCAACGTGAAGAGCGGAGCTATTATGTCTGCTTTGTCTGATACTGAGATTCAAAGAGAAATTGGAATCAGCAATCCTCTTCATCGCTTAAAGCTCCGATTAGCAATCCAGGAGATGGTATCACTGACAAGTCCATCAGCACCTCCAACATCCAGAACAGTGAGTCCTGTTCAGCTAACTGTCTCTTCCCCACTTCACCCTGCAGGAGTCGGCAGAAAGATTTTGCAGTATGAGAGGGGCTCTGTGGTAACACATACTTCACAATCAGTGGGAACTGTCCTATAGAGATGTAGAGGGACCTGTTCATCACTCACTTGATTGTTGATCGCTGATATTTTTCCTTTAGCAGATATTCTTATTTTTTTTTAAGTCGTGCTTTTGATTAACCTTGATGTTATCTAAATGATCAGTATTTAGCATCTCTTTTGTAATTTTACCTGTATTTTTGCCTTTCTCTTCCTTCAAGTCAACTCTCCTAACAAATCAGATTGTGTTTCTCTTTTTTTTCTTTTTGGGAGGGGGAGGAGGGGGGAGCGCAGCAGGTAAGGCAGAAGGGGGAGAGAGAGGTTATGCAAGAACGCAGCTCTTTTGAATCTTGTTCGCATTCCCTTTTTTGCATCTTTTCAAATGTTATCTAATCTGAGTCAACTTTAGATTCTTCATGCTTTTAAGAGAAGCAGTGGTTGGAGGTGTGTAGAGAGAGTATGTAAGGAAGAAGTAGAGCGTGTGCATTTCATAGAATCATTAAGGTTGGAAAAGACCTCAAGGATCATCAAGTCCAACCCAACACCACCTAACTCACTAAACCATGTCCCTAAGCACCACATCTACATGTTTCTTGAACACCTCCAGGGATGGTGACTCAACCACCTCCTTGGGTAGCCTGTTCCAAAGTCTGACCACTCTTTCAGTGAAGAAAAGGGAGGTGAGGAAGGGAGAGAAGGGGGAGAGTGGCAGGAGATGGGAAGGAAGCAAGTAAAGAAGAAACACAGAGTTACAGGTCTGAAAGGAAAGGGGAAAATATTTCAAAAAGAACAAGAAGGTACATTAGGGGAGAGTAAGAATGTACGGGCCACAGATAAAAATCACCTTATAGTGGAAAACGAAGAAAAGCAGGCCAAACTGATGAGGAGAAAAAGGAATAAGGTAATGAAAGGGGAGTAGTTTCATGCTGAGAGGCTGATGGTGATGGCTATGAAAGAAGCAACAGAGACTGTAACAGAAAAAAAAAAGGCAGATCAGATAGAAAACATGGCACAGAAGTGAACGACAAAGACTACTACTCAAGTAGTGCAGCCCAGACTTGTAATACTAAGATAACAATAAAAATGATGTTAATAATAATAATATATGCATTTTGTAATCTTTATGGAATTAATGGAGAATCTTTTGGTGGAAATGAGAACTGAGGTACCTTCCAGGGGTACCAGAATCACTGAGCTATATGATCAAATGGGCAACAGGACTCTTGATGTTCCTATTGGCTGGCCTTTTATCTTCACTTTGCTGGTGTTCTTTATATATTATAGTTCCCCATCTGTTATTTTCTCCCCTCAAAATGGTTGTATATGCCATAACCTATGGCATAGATAATGGTAATACTATGAATCACAATGGATTTCACCTAGTAAAGCAGCATAGACTCAACATGTTGTCGAATTACTAAACACAACTCATTTTGATTTTAAGAGCGTAAGAGAATATTTCAAAGCATAAGAGCATTGACACGAAATGAGAAAACAGTACATTCAAGCTAGAAACACTGGGAATAATTTTGCCTTGATTTTTTTTTTTTAATTCTTTCTGAGTAATTGGCAGCACAAAGCTGCCTTCCTGTGGAATGTGCATTCCTGTGTCCCAAGTCTTTCTGCCTCCCCTCTTTCTCAGGAAAGGAGTTAATTTACTTCATCTCCTAAGAAAACACCGCAAATTTCACCTTACGTGCACAGCAGACTTCCACACCCACTGCCTGCCTCATCTCATTGTCCTAGTAATAATGACTGAAAACAATAGGATGAGGAAAAATAGTTTTACGAGTGAATTCTCTTGACATTTTTGATTTACAGAAACATGGGGGAAGTAATAATTATTTAGATTACAATATGAGCATATGATGTGTGCAGAATATTTAGGCTTGAAAATCTTTGAGAACTGAAGCTTACCTCCAGACAGAGCTATGAGCTAAAGGTTGTATTTGTCACTTGTGTGTGAAATGCAATGCAACTTTAATTATTATTCTTTCCCTTGTGACGGTGCAGCGCCAGATTTCATCCACCAGTTCTAGCTGAAGTACTCCATCGCATCTGTTCAGAATCCTCTTAATGAAAGATACAAAACGAGTTGTCTAAAGTTGTCTCTAGTTGCAGCTCGGTACAGGCAAGAACATGGTTGTGCTGATGGTGATGCTATACGCTGTTAACTTACAGTGGTGCTGCCTTTCTTCTTTACCACTGCTTACCTAATGTGGATCCCACCTGCCTCCCTGTGGGCCTCATCCATAGCCCTCAGGCAATGTTTGGGTGACCCATGAAGAGATGGAAAATCTTGCTGCTCCAGCTAAAACGGTTAGTCTTTCCACTTCCATTTAAAATGGTTTCAGTGCTCAAACAAGAACTAGGATGTGTCTGCTTCAACACAGACACCATATTGTCTGTGGGATGCATCCCAAGCATGCCATTAGAAAGTCACGGTGAGGAGTGAAATTGAACTTAAAGAACAGGTACATAATTTCTCAGCAAAAGAAATTACAAACTGTGTTGCGATCACAAAAATTGTGTGAACCTAAAACCAGTATTGGAGTTTTACAGTATGGAATAGTTTTACTGCCACTGAAACCTCATTTAGTGAAATTAAATTGTCGTGGTTACAGATGCAACATTCCCCCCATAGTCTACTCCCTAGTGACTCTTCTAAACATAGTTTCATATCCACTGAAACAGAAAGAAATAAGAAAAGGCTTGAGAACAGTACATTATGCAACTCGGTGTTTTCATTAATGCCGAGTCTTTCATGTCCATACTCATGTATTCCTATAGGGTGCATGGAGTGTGTCATTTATTTTTGATTTTTGTCAAACCTCTCCCTGATTTGAAGGGGACATAAATATTAATAGATTTTATTCAATAGTTCTGACTTTTTTCTTGTACTTGGAACAGGTGTTATTTTAGGTTTTGGTTTTAGCATTACATCATAGCAACTCTATAACAGTGCTTATAGAACATGATACAATCATACAGTGAGACATCTGAAAAACCTATATTCAGTTTGGAAAACTTTATAGTCAGACCAATCCATAAATGGGGGGG